AGGGGCTCCAATCTATTGGTGGGGACACTGGGGAGCTGCACCTGCTGGAAAGCGGGTCCAGCGTCCCGTTTGATACAATCATAATGCTTCCACTTCGCGATCGTTTAATAAAACTTAAAAAAAAAAGCACAAAAAAAACAGGATTAGAGTTTTCAGCCGTTCCCTTTCCCGCATGTCCATCCTTCCTTCTCCCCTTTCCTCTACCGTCTGCCTCCGAACATAGCGCACCGTAATAATCAATCTATAATCAAGCTAACTTTCCAGTCTCGTACAGCCATAATGAGGGGTGCGTTGTGTTCGGGGGAAGACGGTAGTCTTTTGCCTCAATTGCCAGTGCATATAGCTATCCACATGTACCGTCTTCCCCCGAATAAAACGTCTGGTCGTTATCGTTGTATCTAGACTGGAAGTTGCGCCAAATACAGCTATTATGACCAGATGTTCTATAGGGTGAAGGCGGTAGTCTTCTTCCTCAACAGCCAGTTCATATTTGTCGAGATTCATCCCCCCACCCAGTGCATCATAGTACTTCTTCGACATGTTTCACTCCCAGAATGGAACGAGGCACCCGATCTGAAAAATCAATCTACAAAAAATAAAAATAAAAATTTCTCTCTACAAAACAAGATAATAGAGTTATTCTTCGCTCCGCGTCCCGCTGCCCCTCCCTCGTATGCAGCAAAGGTCTGCTCTTTGCTCGGTTTTAGGGTGTATTTCCTCTTTTCTTCCCCCTCTTTTTGCTCTTTTTTAAAGGGCGATGGGCTTGAGATACATCTTCAAACTGACAAGCACGGCTCATTTTTCTTCTTACCCGTCTTTTTTGTCGTCGTAAATTCATTACTCATCCGAGTTCATCTGAGTTTTTTTCTCTTTTTATTATGAATTTATGACACTATTATCAAGTTTTATGGCAGTTCTCTCTTTTTTTTTTATTTATAAAGCTATATTCTTCTCTCATCTATCTCATTTTTCTTGCTAGTACTCATCTATCTCATCCCCTCACTAGTCTATGTATAGTAGGGGGGAACACCAACCAACCCGGATCTCTCCCCAGCCCACGGGGTAGGTTGGCACCACAGCTGTGGTGCGAGAGCAAGGCTGTACCAGTCCCTTAAAAAAGGGCTATTCGAACTGAGACCTGTATTTTAACAGTTCATGGGTGTACCAACCGCTAACCGAGCTAGGCCCGTTGGGAGGGTGTGTTTCGGGTATTTCGGGGAGGGAGAGGGCGTATATAGTCCGTTTTGCCTCGTTTGCGTTTGCCCTCGTGTCGCTTTTCTCTTACTGCTTCTCCCCCCCCTACTCCTCTCCCCACCTCCTCTTCCCCCACATTTGTTTATAATCCTGCACTTCATTCTTTGGCTGTATTAGGGTCGACTCCGTCTCGCCTACCTTGATTATTTGCCCTCCTGTCCGCTCAGTTATGTATTTCCCTCTCTCTGCATCTGTTCCGTTCAATGAATCTGACCTCGTTTCTGCGGCTTACTGCCCTCTCCTCCTTCCCGCGGTCTGCTGGTTTATGGGCCTCGCTCCACTAAACAAACACTATATGCATCTCGTTCTCATAACGGTCCCGATACATTCCAGATCTTGGACTCTTCTAAACTCACGTGGTCCAGAAAGGCGTCCAAATGCATATGGAGTTTTGAGTAGTGGAGCGAGGGCCTATGTTTTTCCCTTGCTGAGCACAGCTGCAGTATAGGAATATAATATTTCTATCCCTTTGTTATGTAGATAGATTTTGATATTGGATGCCTTTCTTTAAGGGCATACTCACTCGGCGACCCCAAATCCGCAAAATATGCGGATTTGGGAAGGGTCGATTTGAGGTTTTGGGCATGGTTCACGTCACACTGCTGTACCTTTTCAGATGGGACAAGGTCGCGGCCGTCTGGAGAAATGGGGATTTGGTACTTGGCTGGTCACACGGCGCCATCCACCAATTGTGCAAGAAGTTTTGTGAACGAATTTTTGCTAATTTTTGAAGAAAATGCAAAAAAAAAAACGGGAATTTGCGGTCACCTCCAGAGGTGACCGCAAAATCCCTTGCCCCGCGGCTTCCCAGGCCGCTGACAAATGGGCACTGGTATAGTCCATTTGCGAATTTGGTAGATCCGTGTGACCGGCTTTTTCCCCTTTTTTTTGGGATTTTGGGATTATAGGTCCCCGTGGGAGTATGCCCTAAGATTTTCATATTGGACGCCCTTCTTCAAAAAAGAAAAAAAGAAAAAGAAAAGAAGCTATATTCTTTTCTCAATTTCACCTTTCACTACCTACTGTCACTGATCCGACCTTCTTCCCCCGAATACAACGTACGGTCGTTATAGCTGTATCTAGACTGAATCATTCGTCAAATACAGCTATAATGACCGTACGTTGTATTCGGGGGAAGAAGGTAAGGTGATACAGGGGACCCCTGCAAGCATTGCTGCCTCTCAGTCAAGGGGGGATGCATATTCACCCTTGCCAGGGGTGGGGCCGCTGGTGGGGACCCGGCTAACACAAAGACATTCCTTTGTGGGGATGCATTTGGCCAGCAGCTGCGCCTCCCTTTGTGCTCTCTGTGACCTTCTCTCTTTTTTTTCCCGTTTTTTTCCCCTTTTTGCTCTCTAGTTTCTCGCATCTCGTCTGCCAGCGTTCCCTCCTTCCCTCTCCTCTGTCGTCCCCCTTCCCCCCCCGGCGCGTCCCCCTCTTGTTTCTCTCGCTTCTATTCCGTGTATCTCGCACCCCTGTCGCTCATTTGTCTTCTTTGCTGTCTTTTTTTTTTTTGATTTATTTTTAGGGCAGCTTTTACTAGAGCTGAGGAACGGCTTCAGCGTCCCTTACAATTTGAGACCCACATCGACGCCTTCCTCCTTTATGGCCGAGGAATCCTGAGTCAGCGGCATGTATTTCCTCTCCTCTCCTCTTTCATCTCCGCCCTTCGATCTCGTGCCTCTCATTTCCTTGTCGCGCTGTCTTACCATACTGCCCCCATGAGAGAGAGAGAGAGAGAGAGAGAGAGAGAGAGAGAGAGAGAGAGAGAGAGAGAGAGAGAGAGAGAGAGAGAGAGAGAGAGAGAGTTGGCCCGCCCAATTTGCAGGATTTTTGAATATGCATTTTGCAAATTTCAGAGAACCTGCATCCTTTGAGCAAATGGAAAAAGTCTAGTACCGTCTTCCCCCGAACACAACGCACCCTCATTTTGGCTGTATCTGACCGGAAATATAACTCGTATACATTCATTTTTAGGGTGCGTTATGTTCGGGGGAAGACGGTAGTAGTAGGAGGGGTACGAGGAGTAAGAGAGGTAGGAAGGGTAGGAGGAAGAAGATGAGGATGGCGACGATGTGAAAAATAATTGTTTCCTCAGGCAATGAGGAGGGGAGGGAGAGAGCAATCTTGACCGACTTGGGAAAGATTCAAAGGCCAGACTCGTTGGAGGAAGAGCAGGAGATATTCGTGAGTCTGAGAAATACGATTACCTGACATATCACAGAGAGAGAGAGAGAGAGAGAGAGAGAGAGAGAGAGAGAGAGAGAGAGAGAGAGAGAGAGAGAGAGAGAGAGAGAGAGGGTGGGGAAGGTGGGGAAGGTGGGAAGGGTGGGAAGAGTGGGGATGGGGTTGGGTGGAAAGGGTGGGAGCAGATGAAAAGAGCTGACTCAACTTTCGACTATGAGAGGAAGGGAAGGGTCGGAAGAGATGAAAATTGGATGAAAGGTGGGAGAGACCTCAAAACCCTAAAAACTCCGCGAAAATGTCTTGCTATTGAGGGTGGAAGCTATTCTTTTGTAGTTGTGTTCTAATCATTTTGCCCTCTTTGCATTGTTCTTTTCCTCGTATTTTGTTGTTTTCCATGTTTTAATCCCTTTGTCAACGTGAGAGAAGATGCAATGCCCTTAGGGTTTAGGGTGCTCGTAGGAGGCTGTCTCATAGAGGTAGAGGGTTTAGGTCTTCGCAA